ATATACCACAGCTTCTCTATCCATTCATTTGTTGATGGGCACTTGGGTTGTTTCCAGCTCTTTGCTATTATGAACAAAGCCACAATAAACATGGGTGTGCATATATCTGCTTGGGTGGTGGTTATGGTTTCTTTAGAGTAAATTCCCAGTAGTGAAATTGCTGGGCCAAATGGTATTGCTATGTGCAATTTTTTGAGAAAGCGCCATACAGCCTTCTATAGGAATAGGGATAATGATACAAGATTTTTACTACATTTGGCTGAGATAATACAGTCTTGCTTCATTGCATGATGGATACAGCAATGGGTAATTATTGCCATGATTTCTTGTCAAGCATTGCCATCAAAAGTAAACACATAAACCAAATAGACACTCTCTGTCATCAGGCTGAAAATGGAAAAAAATCTGTTAAACATCAATCTTTTTAATTTATATATTTTAAAATTTCTATACTGATTTGCATACAAAATTCATGTACACTGTGTTTCACACTATCCCTCATTCACATTGTGTTTCATGCAATTATTCCCATTCATAGTGTTTTATAAAATTAAACCCATATAAAATGTTTAAAAAGTAATATCTTAATACTCAAAACCATGGCATAAGAATTCTCTTTTAAGATATTAAATATAAAATATTTTTCTTTTAAAAAGGGAATCACCATTGTGCCCCCATCACCCTGTCTTTTCAGATCACTAATGGATCTGTCCCTTTTCCTGACTGTATAATTTTCCTCTTACCCATCTATGATCACCCCTCTTCTCCCACCCCTTCTGCCCTTGAACCTCCATTCATGCTTTACTAGTTATCCTTTTATTTTTACAATAACGGTCGTATGCAGTATTTGTCCTTTTGAGACTGAGTTAATCCACTCAGCATAGTGTTCTCTAGTCTCTCCCAAGTTATGTAGTTATTTTTTTAAATAGTTGCTCCTGAGTGCTGTGTAGTATTCCACCACGTGAATGTACCACACATTTAGGTTGTTTCCATGTTCTTGAACATGGGAAGAACACTACTATGAACATTGGTGTACGAGTTTCCAGTTGTGTCTCAGTTCTTGTTTCCTTCGGGTGTATTCCTGGTAGTGGAACAGCTGGGTCAAATGGCATTTCTAGTTACAGCTTTTTAAGAAAACACCAAACTGCCTTGCAGAGAGGTTGTACCATTTTAGAATTCCCATCAACATTGTGTGAGAGTTCCTATCTCTCCACATTCTCTCCAACATTTACTGCTTTCTGTCCTGTTAAATTGTTGCCACTGCTACTGGGGAGAGATGATATCTCATGGCGGTTTTGATTTGCATCTCTCTTATTTCCAGTGATTTTGAGCATTCTTTCATGGGTCTGTTGGTCATCCAAATGTCTGTCTCTTTGGAAAGTCTTCCATATCTCTTGCTCATTTTGTAATTGGGTTATCAGTCTTTTTCTTGTGGAAGGAAGCCTTTATTATTTTGTGAAATTATTTATATGAGACCATTAACTGAGATGGTATTGCCAATTCTGACCCTCTGCCCAGTCTGTAGGTTTTCTTTTCACCCTACCAGTAAACGAGTAAAAATTTGTGATACACACAGAATCTTTTTAAAAAAAATAATCTTTAGAAAGTCCCATTCATCAAAGTTTGGTGTGTGTGTTTTTTCCCCCTCTCTGGATTAGTTGTGCATTTCTGGCTGTATTTTTCAACCTCTTTATACCATATACCAGGCCTTCTAAGATTAGTCTCATTTTGTCTCTTATGATCTTTATAGTTTGAGCTTTAACTCAGGTCTCCAATTTCCCTTGATCAGAAAAATTACAAATTTATTTTTTGTGTATGGTGTAAGATGTAGGTTTTTCTTCAATTTTCTTCAGGTAACAATGTAGTTTTACCAGCACTATTTATTGAAGAGGTTGTCATTTTCCTATTTGGTAGGTTTTGTTTCTTTGTTGAATATCAGTTGACCATAGATAATTGGGTTAATTTCTGGATTCTTGATTCTGTTCCATTGGTCAATATGCTTGTCAAATGACAGTACCTTGCTGTTTTGGTTATTTCCACTCGCTGTATAGTAGGTTTGAAGATTAAAACCTACTATATGTCTTTCACTTCATTTTTGTTTTTTAGAAGTGTTTTACTTATTCAAGATTCCTTTCCTCTTTAAATGAAATTGTCAGCTGCCTTTTCTGTCTTGTTGAAAAATGAATTTGTTGTGTATATTGGGATAGCATTAAACATGATATAAAATATCAACTCAATAATAACTTCTGTTGAGTTGGTCCTGACTACTAGCAACTTCCATCCAGCTTCCAAACCTTTGCAGCTTTCTCTTGCAGAGCTATTGGTAGATTTGAACCCCTGACAATGGTTTTCTAATGGCAAATATTTTCTAGTAGAGAACAGCAATACTACCTAGACCACAATTTTTATATGAATTTTTATTTTATACTGGTTGACTTACAAAGTTCGTATGCATTGTTTTTCACATTGAGTCTTTCCCATTTTCTTAACCTACCCCCTCCCTCCGCCCATCAAATTGTGCAGCCCTAAGATTACCCCTCCCCTCCCATCCTCACCCCTCTGCTTCCACCTTCCCCCCTTTGATCCTCATACACATTTTACTAGTTACCTATTTCTACAATAATACAGACCACACTATTTGATTAGCAGTATAACACACCACAAGAAACTGTGCCACCAAAGCATACTGTATAAATTCCTGTTGTACTATATAGTGTGCAGAGGTAACTCGTGGTTGCTGTGAAGCTGAACACTGTGACACTGATGTGTCAAATGTGATAATGGTGACCCATGGTGGACAGTGTTTGGTGGAGCTTCCCGATTATAACAGGTTTGGAAGCAGGAGTGGCATCCACTTCCTAAATAGCTTGCCTCCGGAAACCCTATGAACCTGGATATGAACCTGGAGAGATGATGAACAAGTGTCCAGGTCTTTCGTTCATAAGGTTGCTATGAGTCATCTACGACTCGACAGCACTTAACAACAACAAATGTTGTTGTTGTTATGTGCCGTCGAGTCGCTTGCGACTCATAGCGACCTTATGTACAACAGCTCTAAACTCTGCTCTGTCCTGTGCCAATCTCATTACCTCCAGCACACTCATCCCGATTGCCCCAGTCACTGAATCAATCCACCTCATAGAGGGCCTTCCCCTCCTGCGCTGCCCCTCCACCCTCCCAAGCATGATGTCCTTCTCCAAGGACTGGTCTCTCCTTACAACATGACCAAAGTATGTCAGACAAAACCTCAGAATCCTTGCCTCCAAGGAGCAGCCCGATTTAACCCTCTCTAGGATGAATCTGTTTGTTCTCTTAGCAGTCCATGGTACCTTCAGCACTCTTCTCCAACACCAAAGCTCAAAGGCATCAATTCTTCTTCTGTTCTCCTTGGTCATTGTCCAACTCTCTGATGCATAACAAGTGATTGCAAAAACCATGGCCTGTACCAGACGCACCTTAGTCTCCAGAGACACACCGTTGCTCTTAGTACTTTGGAGAGGTCCCTAACAGCAGACTTTCCCATCGCAATACGTCTTTTAATTTCCTGGCTGCTGGTGCCAAGAATGTTGACTGTGAAAAACAACAACAAATATATAGTGTTAATTTGGATATTTAGAGCTAATGTTCTAGAATATGCTTAAGAAGAGGTCCACATTTAATCCTTGTGGATTATGATCTGGCTCTAGTATTTCTTTAGTTCAATGATGTAAAATTTTAGGTCAGTGATTGAAGCAGTCACTAACTTGGCTGACACACAGAGTAAGAAAGATCCGGTGTGAAGAACAGCATATGCAAATTTTAGGAACTTTGTATGTAAACCAGTTGTTTTAGGTGTCATCGAGTTGAGCATGACTCATAGTGACCCTGTGGACAAAAGATCTGAGCCCTGTTCTGGCCTGCACCATCCTCACACTTCCTGACACACAGAGCCCATTGCAGCAGTCACCGTGTCCATCCACCTGCCTGAGGGACTTCCTCTCCTTCACAGACCCTCCATCCTTCCCAGCATCAAGTCCTTCTCCAAGGAACAGCACCTCCCAGCAACATGTCCAAAGTACGTGAGGTGAAGCCTCCGTCAAGCTGAGTATCTGTATCTGATCTAATTCACAATCAGCTTGGGTGGGGAGCCTTTTGTGTAGGCAAACAGGATCGAGGGGGCTGGTCTTCGTAAACTAGTATAAAATATTTTTTTAAAGTGTTATAAAAAGCCTCACCTGGAAATCCAAATTCTCTGTAAATTTTCATGGAAATTAATGATAAAAGAAAATGTAAAAACCTCACCATTTCTGCATTGTGTGTGTGTTGTTTTTGTTTTCTCCTTATATGTAAAGTAGAAATCAAAATAAAAAATACTGTGTTCCAAAAGTATCTAAAGTAGACCAAATACTGAGATCAAAGCTTCTCCTCTGTCAGAGAGAAACAGGAGAACTTTGTGTTAAGCAACATTCAGAGAAGCATGGACCCTCCTCCCCAAGACTTCTACTTCCTTGTGGTCTACACAGTACCCTTACAGTCAGCTCTGTTAGAAGGTGTGTGACCCAGTAAAGAAATTGTTCTCCTTTCTCACAGCTCTGCAATCTTTTTAGAGGTTCTGGTAAAACACAACTCATTCCTCCCCCCTCCCCCCAACCTCATACTGCATGATAATCTGGTCTTTTGAGCACAGAAAATATATAATACCAATTTGGGAAGACATACATGCATAACAGTTCATAAGAGCATTGAAAAGTATTTCTCAGGAGTCATTAAAAATAAAGGAAATTTTCTGAGTGAGGATTGTGCTAACATAGTAATATATTATGTAAGCTCACCACTTTCTATTCATGTTGCTTTATAAAGCATACACAAAAATAGAAACAAATACCTGGTTTATGTCATTTATTCATTAATATAGTACTAGATTAGTACTGCTATTCTTTAAACTGGAAAGAAAAATACATACAATATTTTCCCATTTCCTATATTTTGCCCCTTCGCTATTTTCCAGAAATCCATTTCTGTTACAGAATTGGGATTTTCATTCAAAGAGAATCTAAATCTCTCCTCTTCACCTTTGGTATGTCAGGATTTGTCACTCTTCCCATAAACACTGTTGATTCTAGAAAAAGGAAAAAAAATATGTATTATGGAAAAAAATAAACTGGCAATAATTAGTTTTTCTTAATATTTCAGAAAATCATTTCTGCCAAATGGCAAAGCCTTCTTTGTCTGAAAAGCATAATTATATCCTTATCAATCATTTTCTGGTAATTTATGAACTAAACTAACATCTGCACCAGCTCTTCATGGAAAAACACATTACTCCTGTTTCTCATATAGGAAAGCAAAATTACAGTGACAGAGAGGTGTTCTTCTAAATATAGCAACCCTGCCAGGCAAACAGAATAATAATATCGTGATGAACACGGCAGAGTTTAAAAATTTAAAGCATTAACCGTCATCTCTTTATGCATAAAATGCAAGCCTGCAGGGTGAAAAGTGCAGCATCTCAACTCTCCTTTAGTTCTGAATCAAAGCTTACTGCTAAGAACAATGTTTTCATATCATTAGTGCTTTCAAATTCTCAACAAGGTGATATAGTATACAGTGTAAAACCAACACCTGTGTCCAGCCAGTCTGTGTTTACAAGTCAAAAGGAACTATGATCTAGAGGACAGATGTCCTGTCAAAATTCATTCTCCTTTCCTTTCAACTGGAAGAGCGGAAATGGCTTCCATGAATCAAGGTTAATTGATGACTTGGTTGAAATTCTTTGAATTTAGAATAAGCCACATTTCAAAAGAGAGACAGTATAGTTTACATAATTTTCAAGGTAATAAAAATCATATTTAATGTTTTTATTATGTGCCACCAAGTTGCCTGTGACTCATAGCGACCCCATGTACAATAGCCCTAAATCCTGCCCTATTCTGTGCCAGTCACACTGTCTGACACACCCAACTCCATTACCCCAGTCACTAAATCAATCCACCTCATAGAGGGTTTTCCACTCCTGCACTGTCCCTCCACCCTCCCAAGCATGATGTCCCTCTCCAAGGACTGGTCCCTTTTTGCAACATGTCCAAAATATGTCAGATGAAGCTTCAGAATCCTTGCCTCCAAGGAGCATCCTGGCTTTACCCTCTCTAGGACAAACCTGTTCATTTTTTAGCAGTTCATGTTTTTTAGCATGTTCAAAACATTCTTCTCCAACACCACAGATCAAAGGCATCAATGCTCCTTCTATCAAAATTATAGAACTTTTTTATGAAGGTTTTTTGTTGTTGTTGTTGTTTCAGCTACATTTGAAGGTTATTTTTTTTTATTATCAGTTCTGATACCATGAAATTAAATACTTTTGCATTCTATTTGGCTTACAGAAACCAGATAAGATGGAATACATGGGCTCAGAAAGTTTACACCTTTATGAAAGCAAATTGCCACATCTTTCTCACATAGATGCTGGTAGGTTCCAGAAGTTGGCCTTCCAGTAAGCAACAGAGTGCTTAACTAATGTGTCACCATGATTCTTTAACTACTCTTGAGCATTAAGTCCATAAACACATACTTTTTTTAAAAAAGGAAACACAAAGTAATAGATAGATAATCTCCAGGAGAAATGTTGTGTTTCATTAATAATTATAACCCACAATGCCTTGTCTCCAAATCTCAAAGTATTTTTGGGATTTGTTGTCAACCACCAAACATGATGTCATTTTACAAGGAATAGCCTCTTCTAACAACATGTCCAAAGTATGTGAGACAAAGCTTCCTCGTCCTTGCCTCCTATCAGGACTCTGGATGCACTTTCTCCATGACATATCTGTTTGTTCTTTTGGTTGTTCCTGGGACACTCAGCATTCTTAACCAACACCACAACCTAAAGGCATTGATATTTCTTCCATCATCCTTACTTATTGTCCATTCTATGAGAGTGATGTGTTTATTGGAATTTTTTGTTAGGTACATTAATTTCATCATAGAAGAAAATAATTTAGAAAATTTAAATATACAGAAGTTTAGAATGTGGTATCAGAATTGAAGGAAGACTCTTCAATAATCAACAGATGATATAACCTTGCTTGCAGAACCTTAGGAGGACCTGAAGCATTTACTGCAGAAGGTCAAAGACTGCAGTCTTCAGTATGGATTGAAGCTCAACATTAAGAAAACAAAGATTCTCACCACTGGCTCAATTGGCAGCACTATGATAGATGGAGAAGAGATTGAGGTTGTTAAATTTCCATTTGCTTAGCTCCACAATCAACACTTTTGGCACCAGCAGTCAAGAAATCAAGAGAATTGTTCTGGAGAAAGCTGTTGTCAAGGACCTCTTAAAAGTGCTGAAGAGCAACAATGTCGATCTAGAGACTAAGGTATTCCTGATGCAGGCCATGGTCTTCACAATTACTTGCTTTACTGCACAATTACTTAATGCATCAGAGAGCTGGACAATGACCAAAGATGATAGAAGAAGAACTGATGCCTTTGAGATGTGGTGCTGGAGAAGAGTGTTGAGTCAAGAGAACAAAGAGGTTTATCCTACAGAGAGTGAAATCAAGCGACTCCTTGAAGAAAAGGATTTTGAAGCTCTGTCTCACATACTTGGTCATGTTGCCAGGAGGGACCAGTCCTTGGAGAAGGATATCATGCTTGGAAGGATGGGGGGAGAGCCCAGGAAAAGAAGACCATGGATAAGGTGAATTGACACAGTAATTGGGGTAATGGGGATAGGTGTGTTGTTGACAGGGAAACTGTCTCAGGGTAGAGCAGAGTGCAAAGCTACTGTACATAGGGGTTGTTATGAGTTCCAGGAGCCTTGAGGGTACATAGCCACACAAGGACATTATCCAAAAGCCATTTAAGGTCTTTTCTATCTTCATTACCAAGGAGAGCCACATTTTGGACTGGGAATTTACACAGTCATCAGTCTTATCATTATTATATCAAGAAGGTTTGAGAAACATCCTTTGTCCTTTATCATTTACAGCTTCTGAAAACCCACTAGACGCTCAGTTATTCTTTCCAACTCATAACAACTCATGTTGTTACTGTTGTGTGCTTATGCACAGCACATAACAACAGCAGCAACATTTACGTATCGTTTCTGTCAGATTCAAACAATTTTTATCTTCCAATATTAAAAGAGGCACAGCCCAAGTTACAGAAACCATTCCCTCTGGTGCAGCTGTGGATTCAAACCTCAACCCTTTGGTTTGTAGGTCTATATGTAGCCCACTAAGGGTCCTCATCCAAAAAAATTTCCTAGAATGAAAGAGTTCTTAGTAAATTCCCAATAGTTCTGGGTCTCACAGAAGTCCAAGAACCCACAAAGTTCTATATGCAGGGGTTTGTTTTCTCTCTCTCTCTCTGACAGTGCTTCACACACACACACACACACACACACACACACACACACACAGTTACAACATCATAATCCACAGCTTTCTCAGAAATGTCCCATTTCATTCAGCGTCTTCTGTAATTTTCTTCTGAAGTCTTTAAAAGTGGTCTACATCCTTCATGTGAAAGGAGAGAAGATTGCTCCTTTGCCTTGGCACTTTAGCTTAGAAAGACTCTTGATGAACATTTTTCAGAAGCAGAGTCTGTGGAGAATTGCTCCGCTAATCCAAACGTGACAGCTCTCAGGTGGTCTCTGCCCACCCTACTAGTGGCCCCACATAAGACATATGCTCAATCTTCTCCTCTGCAATTTATGCATTTACATCCTTTGAAAACTGTTGGAAGGTCAGTTGTGAGTCGATTCCAAGTCAATAGCGATTTGTCTGAGATTTAGATTTAATAGGAAAATTCAAATAATGTATAGATTTTGCACAATAGAACTCTTGTCAAAAGGAAGATTCAATCTATATTTAAAAAAATGGCTTGACTAAATCTACAGTCATTCATCCTCATAATTTAGAAATCTTCAATTGAGTCTATTTTATGTAAAGCACTGAACATTTAATAGTCCACTGTAGTTATGCTAAGTTACTGTGTCTGCTTTTCTCAGTGATTTCTGGAGTTCATTTGTAAGAGAGAAAAAAATAAACCACAGAATGTATATTGTCCTGAGATAATAGCCTCGTCTATATTTACATGGCAACACTTACAGCCCCTGTTAAATGGGCAGCCATTCATTTTATATAATAGTTTAAGAGAGTCACCCTTTTTATGAGTCTAATTATAAAAAAGAACATAAAACAGAAGAATTTGTCATTAAGGTCTGATAGTTAAGCATTGTAACAAATAAATAATTAAGTGGATTATTTTGGGGTTTGAAGTTGCATTGTTTCACTGATAGTTATTATATAACAAGTCATCAACTTAAAAGTACAGAGTCAAATATAATTATTCCAACTGCCGTTATTTCCTTATGTTATCTAGGCTCATTTCTTTCTATTCTCCATACTCAATAATTATATACTAATTGTAAGAAATTAGAATTATCCAAAGGTTAGAGATGAATAGATCAAATGCTAGACACTGAATATATTTTAACACTGATATATCCACTACTGAAATGGAAGTTTTGTTAATGCAGTCTCAGCAATTTTAAAACTCTTCCCTTGTTTCCAAGATACAATTTCTAGAAAACCTACCCAGCATTTTTATCATGGATCCAAGAAATAGATTTCTAAATATATTCCTAGATTCCTAAATACAATCAGAAGACAATAGTATCAGCATCTCTAGTTCATTTAATAAATTCTGTTTGTAGCTATCTCTCTTGTTGGTGTAAAACAATTGTACACAGTCTTACTTTCTTCATTTATTCAATTATTTACTCATTTATATTTATTAACTAGCTAATATTGAATCTGTATTTCAGCGTTGCAGATTTAACACATCCTTCATTTAACTCCATGAGAGGAGGACTAATCCTGTGTCCAAATAGTATCTGAGAGAAATTTAGGTGAGAATGAGTAGGGAACTTGTCCCACAATTTTAATGTTGACTGAGGTGAGACTTCAGCCCAGGTAGTACAGCTATACTCCTACTTACAGTCTAGAGTGATACAGATTATACACAAGACACTTTGCCAAATAGCAAGTTAGATACAGAAATGTACTCAATTCCTGTTCTTCTGTGGCATATAACTCTCAATGAGTTTCATAACTCTTAACAATAGACAATAACTAGGGAGGATAGAAGGAGAATTGATGCCTTTGATCTGTGGTGTTGGAGAAGAGTATCGAATATACCATGGTCGGCTAAGTTAATGAGCAGGTTCAACCTGGAGAGGGTTAAACCAGGCTGCTCCTTGGAGGCAAGGATTCTGAAGCTTTGTCTGACATACTTTGGACATGTTGCAAGGAGGAACCAGTCCTTGGAGAAGGATGTCATATTTCGGAGGGTGGAGGAACAGTGCAGGAGAGGAAGACCCTCGATGAGGTGGATTGATTCAGTGACTAGGGTAATTGGGATGAGTCTGTTGGAGACAGTGAGGTTGGCACAGGACAGAGTGGGGTTTAGGGTTATTGTACACAGGGTCGCAATGAGTCACAGGTGACTGAACAGCACATGACAACAACAACAAAAGTGGATAAAATTTTTAAAAATCTACTATTTCACATTTTCTGTAAACCAAAGTACTGAAGTGTCTGCCTAAATAATTTGGATTGACATGTATTGAAAACTTGCTGGTGGGTCATTTAGAAAACTTTGTTGCCATTAAGTTGGTACCTAGGCATCACTGACTCTGCAGTGGGTTTTCAGAGACTGTGACTTTTACAGAAGGACATCTATCCTCCTCTGAGCAGAGGATGGATTCAAACTCTCTGCGTCTGGATTGACAAGGTAACTCCTTACCTTCAAGACCACCAGAACTCCCTGGAAGGTTGGAAGGTCCTATTATCTCTAGAAAGGGGAGTTTAGATGACGGCTTAGTGTGTTGTGTGCTTGGCTGCTGTCTGAACCCACCAACTGTACTGACTTGAAAACGATGAGATTTGTTTTCATTTGTTTGGGGTTTTATTATCCCTTTAGGGAACACAGATGGGTAAGTGGTTAAAAAATTCCACTGGTTGGGTGGCCTAGTGGTAAGAAGCTCTGCTTCATTTCCAAAGGCACAGAGTTCAAATCCCCTCAACTTCTCCATGGGAGAAATATAAACTATCTCCTCCTGTCTGATTAACTGCTTCTGAATACCTGACAGAGCGTCATCTATGGATTGGTTACAACCTGATGGTACGCAACAAAAAGAACCACAAATGAGAGAGAAAAGTGAATTAATCTACCTCCACAAAGATTTCACATTTAAAAAGTGATAGAGAAGCTGTATGTTTTCCTTTAAGGTCATTATAAGCAAGAATCAACTCTTGGGGATTTTGGTGGACTTCTTATTGCTGTTATCCTGGTGCAAACTAGTCACTTAGCAAATACTCAATGAGTATAATTTTTGATTTATCATTCAGATTTGACTTGTAAACATAAGGAATTCCATAAAGGAATTCTCAGTAAAATTACCTGTTGGGTTATCCTTCAAAAGAAACAGAAATGGACGATTTGCAATGAATTGGTTTCGAGCCAGAGTCATAATTGCAGGAACATGCATGCCTGTGAAACCGAGGAGACAGTTATTTAGATGTTCACATTAAAAGATAAGAAAAAAATACATCAAAACACTTTATGTAGACAAGAAAGGTCACATTGTTTGAAGGAGTTAACATATGTAAAAAGAGCCATTTTATTACTGCAGAGAAATGTGGAATAAATTTAAAAACCAAAGACCAGAAGAATAAATATTGACTCATTCTAACTTCAATGTTGAAGCTCAATAAAGAAGAAAGTCAGATACCATATTCCATTTAGAGGAAGCAGGTGAAAAATTCCATCCTTTAAACAGTAATTTCCTGCTTGCTATGTATTTACTTTATGTGACTTATTCTTATTTTCAGCTCTCAGTTTTCACGTAGATATTTCTGTGCTTTATTTCTATTTTCAGTTGTAATCACATCTAAGTTCAAATTAATTTTTGCCTTGTTTTTCCAAATTATTTTATGAGTTCAGAACTTTTAGATTTTGTTCTATGAATGTGCATGAGATTTATTTTATTATGAAATTAGAAGCAGAAATTCTCTGAACAAAAAGTTATTTACAATAATTTTATATAATGCCTTAGGGTATTTATCAATATTTAGAGTAAGAAAATTTAAATAGTTAGATATTTTTTCCTTCTTTGTTAAGATTAAACATGTCTATTCTCACCTGAGAGATCTTTTTTATCAATGACAATTTTCTTTATCAATAATATTGCACAACAATTTTTAAACTTGAGCAGGTAAAAAATAATCAAACATATACCTAATAACAAAATATACATGCTTTTCTCCTTTCTAGAATATCAGATATGCTATTCAAATTATCATTTGATATTTTGAGTTGTGATAAAAAAGGAAAGGCAAAGTCACTATCATATAGCTAGGCAAAGTCTCCTATTCTTATATACAGCGACCACTGGAAATCACTCCTAGTAAAATGGATTTGACTATTTTGAGAAATGGCCACAGCACAGACTTTTCAGGAGATCCGCAGTTGATATTAACGAGCAGTTAAGTTAGAGAGTTAATGTTAAGACCCCCAGTTATAAGGTGAATTGACACAGTGACGGGGACGTTGGGCTGAAGTTATGACTCTGAGGCTGGCAAAGGGACAGGCAAGCTTTCATTGTGTTAGTCAATGGGTCACTCTCAGTTGGAGCCACCTCCAGGGAGACTAATAATAACAACCTGAAATATAGTAACAAGAATCAAATTATATTAACTCGCCTTAATAGAAGGATGTAAGTAATACAATTACTTCAGAAGAAGCATTTCTAAGCCATGATGCTTTAATAGTTGATCTCGAGTTCCTTCCACACTGGTTTAGGATGCATCTCCTAGCTGACAATCCTGCTTACAAATGAGGAAATAGCAGGCGACAGGTCTCAACTCTCACTTCTTTCCCTGTCCACTTAAATAATGTAGAGAAGCTGTGGTATATCCACACAATGGAATACTACGCTGCACTGAAAAAGAAGGAACTAATGGAATATTATACAAAATAGGTTACCCCGGAGGACATTATGCTGTATGAAATACCTCAGCCACAAAAGGACAAATACTGCATAGTGCCACTGTTGTAAAACAGGACTGACATCGGGGTTGAGTAGAGACTGAGAGAGATGGGATAAATTAGGCACACTGCATTGAAACAGATGAGGGAGAGAACTGTTTAAAAGGGACATATGATTAGGTATTATTGTCATGACAGGAGTCCAGAACAAAGGCTGCATAGTGGAGTGGACCTGGGGGGAGGGATTGTAAAACAATCATAGAATTTTTCTTTTACTTTTCGAAGAGAAAAGTGAATTGTAGAGAGGGAGTTGGGAAGGATAAAAGTGCATCAATGAATGAATGGAAATGCAAAGTCTCAGCAAACTTTCATTAACATTAAGAATAATTCTTTGACTATAGAGATGCATAAGCAACTTATTCGACAGTTTTCTTTGTTCTTCCTATAGTGCACAAAACATGGGAAATGGAAAGGAGAGCTGAGCGCTGGGGCATAACTGGTAGCTAATGTTGATTCCCCCTGAAGTCTTTTCTCCCAGCTTGTTGACATACTATTTGTCCTACCTGTTGAGGCCGCAGCTTCGCTGCCATCTTCATTTATCTCAAAGAAAACCTTTTGTGTGACTTGAGAAACATACACCTCAGATGAGTCTAGTGAGAAACATGACAGCGGCTTTTTAAAATCAAGAGTCACGACCCAGTAAGCCACACATTAACAAAATTGTCAAATGACACACACAAAAAAATAAAAGGACAAGCAAACTCTCTTTCCAAGTGAGTAAATGTTCTGGAGATAAAGGTAGTCGAGGCTTAGCTCTTACAGAGATGATACAGCTTCAGCTCTGATAGAAAAGATAAAGACAGAAGGGGCCAAGCCTCAAATCTGGAATCCCACTAAGCGAGACATTTGAATGAACAGTAGGCTTTGCCACCTCGAGCCTTGGTCTGGCAACGGGATGAAAAACACTGTTTAAAGATTTGAATTAATCCCACCCTCTGTGTTTAACCTCAAAGCCGACTTACCTTTTAACACTGCGTCCAGTTTTGATCTGAGTTAAAAACAAAACTGACTTTCTTTCAAGACTGTGAGTGAAAGTCAAAAGAGGTTTCGAGTCATTTATTAAAAAAAAAAAAAGAAATCACTTCAAAGGTACGTTTTAGAACCTGGTAAGATGTTTCTGTGTAGGATGGAGTTTTACACTTTTTTGTTCTGCTGAGGGAGAACACTCCTCTTCTGTCCTTGGGAGAACTGATGGATGTGCAAAGTGTCTCTGATACCGTAGCAGCGGAGATATTCACCTTGTTGGCCAGTCTTGCTATGACAAGACAAGATAGACTTGAAGATGTTCCTCAGCGTTCAGAAGTAGTAGGAGGGTAGAAGGAAGAAAGATGAGTCTTGTTTCTTGAGAAGAAAAGGAGCAGTTGAGAGAGAAAATGGATTTGATGCAAGTAATCCTCCATTTGGAAGCAGGAATGGCATCCACTTCCTAAGCAACATGCCTCTGGAAACTCCCTGAACTTTGATAAATATCGATAATTATAGAAAAGCTTCAGGCCTTTTGTTTACAGGGTCGCTTTGAGTTGTGCTCGACTCGACGACAATCAACAACACAACAATCCTCTGTCATAAAACAGAAAACTGAGCATTGACTATACAGCAGATGTCAAAAATAGGTGATTCGTGTGCTAACTGTTCCCATCTTCTCAGAATCGTCAAGTCCAAAGAAACGTTTTGTCAAATCTGCAATCTGTTACTTTTCCCTGAAGCAACTTGGATATGTTGGTGTTAGATGCTATTGAGTTGGTGCTGACTCATGGGTCCACTTGTACAACAGAACAAATAGTGAGTGGCCAGTTCCAGGCCACTGTCATAATAGAATACATCATACCACTTAACTCATGAGAAACTTGAACCTCAAGAAGTTTATGCCTTCTGCTAAAAGTGAAACAAGAAGTAATAACAGAATCCCAATGTTCATCTTAAAGGTTCTAAAGTGTCTCTACATAAACACTCATTCAAAGCTTATTAATTACATTGCCATCATGTAGTACTACAACTTTCAGGGAAATATCCCAGAGAATGGTGTTTACTTTAGGGAACTTTAGTAACCTTTAGGGAATGTTTGTTCCACAAATGAAAAGCGTATTCCCAAAGGTACATATTGATAGTCTTTGTTGCTGAAATAAGAACTTAGGCAATAAGAGAGAATCAAAGTACTTCACAGCTCACAGTGGGAATTCAGGCATGGAAGAGTAGGAAATTCCAGCTATTTATTCTTCTCTTTGCATGGTTATTATCTCACACATCTTCTATGAAACATTTTGGAAGGCTTAGAGAAGTCATAAATTGCCTGGAATTTGTACAGCGAATAACTGTTTGAAATGCCTGTTGTTTATCTAACAAGCTTCCTACTGACAGATAAGTTAAGGGGGAAGAGTGTTTGAAAAAAATCTTTTGGATTATTTCAAGTTGGTGAAGAGACAGTATTTCAGGGTGCAGTCGTTTATAGGGCCATGTTTGGGCATTTAATGTTGATTGTCTCCTAAGTGATAATAATGAGATCGTCAATGAAGCCAACCCCATCCGTCAGGTGTGTTAAGTAGCAAAGTCAGGTGTGAAACTAACAATGAACATCTATGACACCTGTGTGCCCCATCAAGGTCTCCTTTCTCCAAAAGGCCAGTCTATTCTACCGCATAATTGTGAGCGAAGACATTAATGAATGCCCCCGCAAGCTCCCGGATATTTATACAGTCAGGGCCAAAACCTTTCCCGGACAATTCCAGGTTGTCGTACAAAATCCCATCCGACAGACGAGAACAAGAAGGCTGAATACGAAACGAGTTCAGTAACTTGGGACAAACTGTCCCTGTTGATACATATTTTTTTTTTTCTCTTGACTTAGTTATTTTTGAACTGGTGGGTACAGCCAAGGCGAGAAGAATTAACAGGCTGCCTTTGGCTTTGTTGTGAAAGTGAGGAGTCTTTAACCATGTGCTGTATCCCCAGGTGCAAACGGGGGCGGCAGTCTCCCTAGAAAATAGCGCCTGTGGCAATTAGCGCTGAACTGCTGACTGATGTCTCGCAGCTGGTGGGAAACGTCCAGAGCTAATAGAAACTCCTCACTCTGCGCCTCCCCCTCCAAGTGGTACCCGGCGCTCCTGCCACAGCTAGAGGCTTCTCTCCTATGCTAACCATGCACCGTCTTCTCTGAATTGTCAGTCCAGAGAAATGTGTGGCTAAATCTGCACTCTGAAGCATCACAATTTCTAGAGTGCCTTCAGCATCATCCAGCAGCTTGCAGATGTCTGTTTCAAAGGCTTTGCTATGACTGCGTTAACATTTGCAAATCGGTCTGTAAGCGCTTTATTATATTGCTTTGCTTAGATGAGAGAACCTTCACATTGTCAGTGCCATTATTCAGATAAAGCAATTCAAAGTCAAAACAAAAACCCATAGAATGTTTTTTTTTTACCTGTGTGGTTTCCATATAAGGAGGGCTAGCACACTTACCCAACATTCTAAACTGGTCTTTGACTTTTATTAAGGAAAACTACTTAAATGCAAAATAGAGTGCTTGTTTACAGACAGCTCAACAAGGCTCCAGCGTGTATTCACCAGGCCTGTTCTCTGTGGTTGAATGCTTTCATTTCAGCTTTAAGATCTGACTGTTAATAGAACCAACTAAGGAAACATATTAACATGGTAATATAAGAATTATTTATCCCATTACCTGTTATTCCAGAAAGGTCACAGCCATGGCTAAATATCTCAGTTATGTTCAAAGAATACAAAGCTTCTTTGAAGTCTAATTTTTGTTCTACTTTAAATCTGTTTAGAGGGGAGAAAAAAAGATGATGAATAAAAGTATTAAACACTGTGTATTTCCTACTAACATGCCTTTGATAAGATACCTTGGAAGAGATGATATTGAGAAATCTTTTCTTTCATTATCGCAGTTACATTTCACACCACTTTTCCCCTAGAGCCACAGATTTCTTCTGGGTTGTTAATAACTTGTTTCCCCAAATAAATAGTTGGTGAGGAGGAAGAAGAAATAATACTCTTTTCTTTTTTTAAGTAACATGTACCAAAAAAATGAAAGTTTCATTTTTCAGTGGCGTGATTCTTTCCTGAGAAATGTAGAAGCTCGGCTCCCCGCTGCAACTCTATGTAGTCAGGTTCTTCACACCACCAAACATGTCTCTTGGCAGATGTCCAACATACTCTACAAGAAGAGAGTTGGAGCACGGAAACAGTCCTTGGAAAAGATAGTTGGCTGTGGAAGAAGCTGTGGATAGTTGGGGTGGAAGAAGCATCAATCACTTATCTTTCATCTAACCAATGTGCTTGGATTGTGTCCCTACCTTCAGTTTAAAGACACATCCAATATCATCCCAATAGTCTCCATAAAAGAGTAAAAAGAGACAGAGGGCAGAAAAGGGCTCTGACCAGTATTTTGAGGCCAGAAGTCAGCTGATCTCTCTCTCTGTACCTCCTCCCCTACCTCCCTCTTCCATTCCATTGTTGACCCCCACTGAGCTGGATTGTAAATCTCAGATAGCCTGGAACCATCAAAGAGGAGTGGTCTTTGGATTATCAACACAACTCCCCGTGATGTGTGGCAATGCACCATCAAGCTGAAACACATATCTGACCCTCAAGTGGGTTTGCACAAGCAGTAAATCTCAATGGAAAAGAGGGTTTGTTTTTCTCCCATAGAACAGTTTGTGGATTTGAACCGTGTGCCTTTGAGTTGGCAGTGCAATCCATTACCACTAAAGCTCCCAGAACGTTCTCCTCTGGACCAGGCCACTTTGAATTCGCCTCACCTGGGAGGCAGAATTTTCACCAGAGATTCCCTCAAGTACTGATCTTTCCAAGATTCCAACTTAACAGCAACCACTGAACCTCAATGTCCCATTTAAATAAAAAAGTGTAAAAAAAAAAAAGAGAGAGAGAGAGAATATTGATAGGACTTAATTGACTTTAAAGATTATTAAAATATTGATTTTCACTTTAAAGCTAGGCTAGTAACTTATAAAAGAAAAGCCTTTAGGTGAACTCTGGTGGCCTAGTGGCAAGAAGCTGCACTGCAATCCCAGAGGTGCACTGTTCAAACCCACCAGGTGCTCTGCTGAAGAAGGAAGGACAATCTCCCTCTGTGCCAGTCAGATCTGATTTGACGGTACACACATATAAAACAATAATAATAAATTTTTTAATAAAGAAAAGCTTTTAAACAGGAATAATAAATATCTCTCCATCAACAAAATTCCTGGCCAACAGGGTTAGATACTAAGCATCTTTAGGTCTTTCCTGACAGGCATCTATACAGACTATGAAGCCAGCTTTGTGTGTGTAAACTCCCGTTCAAACACAAGAGCTTTGCTTTTCTAAGGTGCAGGCCCACACCTGGGACTTGAAATTAAGCTTGGGCAATCACTCTAATTATATCATTGTTTTAATTGCCAAACACCGAACAATCTTCTTAATTATAATGCTTCAAAACAATGAAGCACGTCGCGGCAGAATTTTACCAGGCAAAATGACTTCCTGGTAAAATAGTACGTCGTTTTTGGAAGATAATAACTCACTCAGAGTCCTTGCCAAATGGTAATGGGTACAAAAGCACATTAAAAGCTAATGATAATGAAAATTGCTGGCGTGTGCCAATTGTTTTCAACTTTCTTCTTTGTACCGTCTTACTAACAAAGATAGATTCAGCAAAATGGTTTGCGGGTTTTGGTCTCCCCCACCTGTGTTACTGCCGTACTATTTTCTTTTGAGCTGGATAGAATATAAGCCCCGAAAAGGTGAAGGATAAATGTTCTAATCTACCTCTAAGCTGGCTATTTTTAGTATAACAAAGCAATAACTTTAGGTTAATGACAAGATTACTGCAAGACTTATTACAACTTGTAATAATATCCAATTATCACCAGAGTCATTTAACTCACAATATACTCTAATAAAACTTACAGTAATAGAAACTCAATCTTTAATAAAAGTACACTCCACAGCCAGTGTCTAATTATCAATAATTATTGGGAATGTGAATAGCCAGGGGCAAATTAGAAGTTCTATGTGTTAGGCACTTAATATAGATTATAGTTTTTAATCTTTAAAACACAGCCTCAAGAAAATGGCATTATTCTCCCCATTTATACATCAGAAGATGAAGGTTTGATTTTCATATTTATAGTCAAGGTAGGTGCTGGAACTGAGATTTTTTTGTATCTATATCTTTTTCTATTATTATTATTAATTTTAATGAAAATTTATAGAGACAATGGATTTCCATTCACTCATTGTTGCACTTTTCTCCCTGCCTACCCTCTCCCCTCCAGTTCGCTCTCCTCTTTGAAAAGTGAAAGAAAAATTCTTTCATTGTTATACAATCCCTCCCCTCAAGTCCACTCCAATATGCAGCCTTCGTTCTGGACTCCTGTCCTGATAATAATACCTAATCATATATTCCTTTTAAACAGTTCTCTCCCTCATCTGTTTCAATGCAGTATACATTATTTATCCCATCTTTCTCAGTCTCCCCCGAACCCCTATGTCAGTCCCATTTTACAACAGTGGCACTATGGGTCTGAGATTTTAAACTCAGATTCATTTGAAATTAAAGCTTACATGCTAACCTTCACCCTTTTTATTCAAAACGTAGTTCAAAAGCATAATCTCATCAATATACAGAATGAACTATTTGCTTCTTCCAAATTTGTCACAATTGAGATTCATTTCCTCTTTTCCGAAACGTTCTTTAAAATTGTCAAAAGACGTATGAACCATTGGTAAAAAGATAAGCGGTGAACAGGCAGTTAGACACTTAGTAACACAGTAATTATAAATGAACGCCTTCAACCCAACACTATCCAGTCAATTCTGGTTCACAGTGACCCTGCGGGACACAGCAGAACTACCCCACATGATTTTCAACTCTGCAAATCGTTACAGACGCAGATTGCCTCATCTTTCTCCTGTGAAGCTGCTGCAAATTATTTGTTTAAAAGACTGCAGTTTCCTCCTAAAAGTAATCATCAAGCATAAGCAGGACTCCCAGAGGTCAAAGATGCATAAAACGAAAGAAAACAATTTCTGCTCTGAGACGGCCCCGCTCCATGTCTCAAGAGTTCACATTGCTATTGTACTTTCCTTATCTTTTAATAAGGACTCTTCTTTAATTAAAACAAGCCTTGAATGGGTCTCTTTTTAAATTCTTCTCTTTAATACTTGACATCCTAGGAGTTTTCGTTTCACAGTCAACTCTTTTGGTAACAGCAGCCAGAAAATCAAGAGAAGAATTGCATTGGGAAAGTCAGCTGTCAGGGGACCTTTCAAGAGTACTGAAGAGCAATGATGTCAGGCTGGAGACTAAGGTGCACCTGACCCAGGCTACAGTCTTTGCAATTGCGTGCTATGCATCAGGGAGCTGGACAGTGACTAGGGATGATAGAAAGAGAATGGATGCCTTTGAGCTGTGGTGCTGGAGAAGAGTGTTGAATACACCATGGACTGCTAGGAGAACAAACAGGTTTGTCCTGGAGAGGGTGAAGCCGGAATGCTCCTTGGAGTCAAGGATTCTGAAGCTTTGTCTGACATACTTTGGGCATATTGCAAGGAGGGACTGGTCCTTGGAGAGGGATATCATGTTTGGGAGAGTGGAGGGGCGGTGCAGGAGAGGAAGACCCTCGATGAGATGCATCGATTCTGTGAGTGGAGTGTGGGAATGAGTGTGTTTGAGATGGCGAGGTTGGCACAGGATAGAGCAGCATTTAGGGCTCTTGTATATAGGCTCGCTATGAGTCACAAGTGACTAGATGGCACATAACAACAACAGGAGTTCTGGTGGCCTAAGTGGCAAGAAGCCGTGCTGCAATCCTGAGATGTGTGGTTTGAGGCCACCAGCTGCTCCTTGGGAGAAGGATGGGCAAGTTCCTCCCATACAATTAACTGTCTCTGAAAACCTACTGGAGGGTCAACAATGGGTCGGTTCCAACTCAATAGTGCACACACCACCACTACAACAGTTTGATTTAGTGGACTTTGTACTATCCTTAATACTATAAGGGTTATAACCAACCAAACCAAATATTACGTTTGCAAAGAGAAAACAAAACATAGTTTTTGATGATGGTGACACTGGACTGTTAGGTGGGAACAGTAACTATTTATTCTCTCCTCTCTTCTCCCTTCTCCCTCCTCCCGCCTCCTCCTTCTCTCTCTCTCTCCCCTCCTCCTCCTCCTCCTCCTCCCACCCTGTGTGTGTGTGTGTGCATGATGCTTTTAAATAGAAAATATTTTCTGTCACATATGAGCTTACATGAACACTTTTCAATGCAAATTTGAGATTCTTATTTCTATGAGTTCCTTATAGTTTAAAATAAATGAACATTCTGTAGTCATTACTGCAGGTGGTCATGACCTCTATGCTCAAATTCAACCTCATTTCCCTCCAGTTCTCTCTCTCTCTCACATTCACAGCATCCACATACACCCACTTGCAGACACATGCAGATCCAAGGTTGGCCAAGGTCAAGGAGTTAGTCTAGCCAATGACCTTTCCCATCCTACACAAGCTGTGGTTCCTTTTGTCCCTTTCCTTGGTGATGTGGCTCCAAACCTCTGAGCTTGTTTTTCATGCCACCACTCACCTTTTAATCTGTTCTACACTATATTCCCTTGTCCAGACTGCACGTCGTCTCTTCTTCAGTGCAATCTCTGCTTTCCTGTGCCACTCACTCCACCCACTACCTCCACTAGCTCAGGCATATGTGTTCTCCCTCATGGTTGCACCACATGGCATCTATTTTTGGACTTCTTGT